TCCATTTAGAGCTATGTCCATCATTAACAGCAATGGAAAGATCAATCCTGCACAGAGTAGACCATCTTATGAACACTGAAATGCAATGTAAGGAATTCCTTAACACTATTTGTTACTTCTGTATAAGGAGAGGAAAACATATTAAACTAATGCACAGCTATTGCTATTGCATTTGGGACTAAACATACTTTATGCTCAGCACATGCTTCCTCTTTGATATCAATTCTCTAGATAAGAGCTTATATAGATAACTGTTGCTGACTTGAAATCACCAGGAAGTGTTAAGGATACCTGGCATAATGTATATGTATGTTTTATTTTTACAAAACAACTGTCATTAGCTGTGCAGTTACACTTCCCATACTACAGCTTCTTTTTACATTACCTTCTCCACCCACTAAACTTATCTTCCCAGTTGCCTTCTAGTATTTCAGACTGTCCAACAGCAGCTTCCTTTGATAAATATAACATCATTTTCTTTCTTTTTCCCTCCAAACAAAAATAAATAGATGTTTCACAAAATCAAATCACATTCTGGTGGAGAGGCTACAGAGGATAGGAGCAGGTTACCAGAGATCTCAAGCCAACCCCCCAAAAGCAGTCATTTTAGGATGCAAAAATTTTTCTTTTTTTCCTTTTTTTTTTTTCCAAAATAAAGAAGAAGCCTCAGGCACAAGACTGGTAGAATTTCTGGTTGACAAGGCAAGCCTACATGAGGTGAGCATGACTCTTGAGGCTCACAGTCCACTCATCTTCACAAGTTTAATAAAGTGTGAGCATCAGCTACTTATCAACAAAATCACTCCAAGCTGACACACTAAAATGTATTTCTTATCTCTGAAGTTCACCCAAAAGAAAACTAGATTACCCTAAAGGTGACAAAACAGATAGACTTTTCTGTTCTCAGAGGACAGAGATGAACTTTGCTAACCGAGCTGCTGAGGACTTAACTGCAGCACACAGAGATCTGCTTTTCACGTTCTCCTACTCAAAGGAAAAGTCACCACACAAACAATTATCAGCAATATGAGTAAAAATAGACTTATTTTTGTGTAAAGTCAAATCCAAAACCCAGCTATTCTTTAAGTGAACAGTACAATAAGTTCTTGTACAGGTGACCAGTTCATGAGACATGATTTGAGTCCCAAAGAAACAAAGTCCAATTCTGTTACTCAAAGCTCAGTCTGCCTTTCCTCTTTATTTAACAGAAAAATTTTGTTATTATTGTTAGTTGTATGTAATCACAAATACCACGAATGTTCATACTACTAAGGTAAGGCATGATGTCCAAGTACAGGAAAGTGACTGATTCGACATTAAATGGGATAGTCCATCTCAAGCTCACCTAAAGACTGTCTTCAAATAGTCAGAACCCCTTAAAGAATACCCGATTCTTATTACATGCTAGTTTTTATCTGGAGAATGAATATCCACTGCCTACTGCTCTTGAACGCTCTGAACTACCACAGCTATATTAGACAAGAATACTGGCACACAACTTAAAATGGAAAGGTATCTTGTGATTAAATGCTGCATCCAAATCAGGTCAGCTTTTTCCTTTTTAAAAACATGATACAAACTGAACCTGGTATTTTCCTTGCTATGATAAACATCACAGAAGCATATTCATCCCCATTAGTTAACAACAGAACCTATAAACTCTTGCTGATTTCTTTATCCGTTTCTAAAGCACAATTTTAAATCCTACACTGCAGATAAGGGTACACTGTTCACAAGATTAAAGTCAAGGTCACATATTGCACATACGCTGCTGCCTGTGAAACAGCGATCTGTTTCACAGACTCCACATATATTTTTAGAAAGGGCTGCTCTAGTCATCAGCTAACAGCCTTTGAATTACAGAAGCAAAGATAAACTGTGGCTTAAAAGGGAAAATTTAAGGCTTCTGTGCCAAAACAGGCAGACCCCTACTGACTTAAGGAAGTAAAGTAGTTCTTTTTATCTCTTCACAAAACCTGAAGGGGAAATCCCCAACACACTGAGTATGAACCCTACTTTCCTTCTGATGGAACTAAGAGTGCAACTCCCCAAGACTTGATACAGGTGGACCACCTTTGAGAAATCCTGGCTTCACAGTATGCCTGGTAGCTAAGCTGGCGCTCTCTTCAAACATCTTTTGCACCTTCTGCTCAACAGGCACCTGTGCAACTATTCATACTAAAGCTACAACAGAAGCACCAGCACCATATAAGCAATGGTCTGTAACACAGAAAAGATTTCTGCCTTCCCCAGGAACACCATTTGTGCAATATATCCTTAGTGGATGCCACAAAATATTAGTAATCAGGAAAAAGTGAATACATTGATACACAACAATTACTACCACATGAGGCTCATAAAAAAATGACACTTCCTAAATCAAACATTAGGCTTAATTCATGGGTATCTAGAAGGGGACTCCAAAAATTCTGTTCACACAAAAAGTGAGCAGCAAAATCTGGATTTTTAACCAGCTTTAATGACTGAAAGATGTTCAATGCATGACCCAAATAAACAGGGTACAGGCTGAGACAGTGAGGCTGCTCACCCTGGAGAAGGCTCCAGGGAGACCTTGTAGCCCCTTCCAGTACTTAAAGGAGGCTTACAGGAGAGGTGGAGAGAGCATGTACTCACAGAACAAGACGGAATGGATTCAAACTGGAAGAGAGTAGGTTTAGATTAGCTGTTTGGAAGAAATTCTTTACTATAAGGGGAGTGAGGGACTGAAACAGGTCACCTGGAGATGTTGTGGACTCCCCATCCCTGGAGGTGTTCAGGGCCAGCCTGGGTGGAGCTTTTAGTAACTGGTCTAGTGGAAGGTATCCCTTTCCATGGTGGGGGGGTTGGAACTAGATAATCTTTAAGGTCCCTTCCAACCCAAACCATTCTATGATTCTATGACTCCTGTTAATTCCCTAAAACAGCACAGGTTTTCTTTTGCCCAGTGGAAATAGTTAAGACTTGCTTTTACCAGAAGGGACGAAACTGCAGCAGCTTTGTGCAGTTGGGAAACACAGAGCAGAGCTCAACACCATGAACAGGTAGAAGTTCCTATAATAATCACTGTTTGTACAGTCAGGACTTAACCAGAGAGTTGATCCTAGACCACCAGAGATGTAAAATCTCTACCTCATCCTGCAACTTACATGTTCTGTCAGGCCATGGAAAATGCTTGAGCAGCTAAATGCTAATTTTTGTAAGTCACTTGGAGAAGGTTCCTTTATTTACTATTGCTGCCACCAACCTGTACTTTAGCCACTCTTTCTTTGCCTTGTTTCTGCAAGACAATAAAACTGAGAGCTTTAAAAGACTTCTCATTACATCAACGTCAGCGTGTTGAGACCTTTGGCAAGTGAGGATGCATGACTAAATTAAAGGAGGTCAGTAAATAAATAAAAGCAGTGTGCTTCTCATCCACACTGCTCTGCTGTCAGCCAGCTCCTGAAGTCTGTCATGGACTAGTCCAATTAGTCAGCTTTGAGACCAAGAGATGTGTTAGGCAGGGGACACTAGGCCCAGGAAGCTGTCTCTGGCCACCTTTCATTTGGCATTGGTGGTATCACTTGAAGGCACCAGTTCCTGACCAGAAACATGTTGCTGTTTGTCAGACAAGAAGTCCCAGAGACACCACGTGCATGTACAGCAGCAATCAGTTACATTTCCTCACCGACACGGAGTTTCCTCACAGAAGAGAGAAGCTTGCAAGATGAATGGATGACAATTCATTAACTGGATATCATGTTAAAATTCCAAGTGGGAAATCAAAAGACGGAAGGATTTTACAACCTGGGTCACCTCACCATAGCTGATTATGTGATTTCACACAGCTAATGTTATTTAAGATTCTATTTTATATCCTGTATTTTTTCATCTCTTTCTAGAAATAGTCTAATATCTGTAGATACCTTTCCATCTACATCTTATTTCAGCAGCCTGTGCAACTCTGAAGACTACATTAGCAAAAATATTTTCATATGGAGGAAACCTCCTAATGCTCTGTTTTTGCAGTAACCTTCCTTTGGGAACCAGACATCATTCACTGACAGATACACTTTATTTTAAAACTGGAAAGCCTCTGAGAAATTAGCCTAATTCTTGAGAGTTTTTAAAACTCATCTGTTTAAAGGCCTAAACAATGTTTCAGTCACAAAATATACACTTTTCAGAACTTAAGCCTAAATTTTGGATAAGCAACTTCTTTTGTTCCAATTTTCACCGGTGCAACTACTACGTCTAATAACAGACTGTAACACTGACTTACTAAATCTCCCAAGTTCTTCAAAGTGCTGCTTAAGCTTTTCTCATGTTCCTCTAGAGGCCAAGTATACCTCCATTCAAACTAAATACCCATGGGTGAGAAAGCCCACTCTTGTATTCAATCACAAAAACTCATGAAATTACAAAAATAAAACGAGCAGTAACATAAACCTCTTAAGAGAAACAGGGGCCTAAATAACAGTTATAGGGCATTCAAACTGATGCTAGTCACTCTACTCTCTACCTGGAGCTTTTTGTCATAACATTTTTGAAGTGCCAATACCATAAGCATTGGTCTTTAAACAGAACAAATTACTATCATATAATCATCACGATTATACTTGAAGTAGAATGCACAAGAGTGTTTAATGCTGGGGGGATGGTAAAACCTATAGAAGTAAATGCAGTTCACAAATACCTGTCTAACTATAAGCTTTCACTAGCAATGGGCTGATTTACTATTATAATAATAATAGTACCCTCTCAACCCCCCTCTTCATATCCACATCGAAATCCTATTACTGAATCCATGGCACCTTTGAGGCTTTTGTGCCGGAGGGAGGACAGGTTCGACAGGGAGGAGGAGGGGGAGAGCGGCCCCTCGCCCCCGAGCGTGCGGCAGAAGCCGCGGCAGCGCGCCGAGCGCAGCGCTCTCCGCCAGCGTCCCGCCCCAGAGCCCTCCCGCGGGGCCGAGCGGAGCCGGGACTGGCCCGGGCCGGCCCCGCCCCGGCCCGCCCCCGTACCTCGGAGCCGGGGGAACTCGCGGTCCCGCAGCGCGCCCAGCGCGTCCCCGTGCCCGTAGCCGTACTCGCAGCCGGCGGGGCGGGCGGCGCGGAAGGCGCGGAAGGAGAGCGGCTGCCCGGCCATGGCGCCCCGAGCTCGCAGGGCCCGGCGCGGACCGCGGAGCCGCCGCGGCCGCTGCCTCCGGCCCGCTCGGCTCGGCTCGGCTCGGCTCGGCACGGCCGATCTGCCCCGCCCGCCGCCCGCCCCGCAGGCGCCGGGGCCGGTCCGGCCGCGGCTGAGCCGGGCGCTGCGCTGGCACAGGGAGGAGTTTCCCGTAAGGAAGACGTTTCCCGAAGCGCCGGGAGATCGGCTTGGGGGTGGTAGCAACAAGTGTACCCTCCTGTTGAGGCATGCTGTTGAAAATTCTTCATGGAAATCTCTCTCCCCTAAAATTTTCCAGTTCAAGCTCAGATTTCCCTTGATACCTCTTCCAATGCTGATAAAAACAGAGGTCACTTGCTCATACTTTGCACTTGGTGTACAGTACTCCTGCATCGTGTCGAGCTGGCTCCCTTGGCCATAGAAGCTGTGCAAAGTACCACAGGCCAAAGCCAGAATTGTGGAATGGGCTGGTCCCCAGGGGTATTGTTCCATGTAAAAACCATTCCAGAAAAATCCTCTGCTTTGTCAGATAAACTATAACCATACACTTAATTAAAAAAAAAAAAATCACAACCAAAGGAATGCGTTTGTTGAGGTTTTTTTTTTGTTTGTTTCTTTCATTGTTGTTGTTGGGTTTCAATTGGGGCTTTTCGTTGTTTTGTTATGCTGTTTTCACATTAATTTTTTCCTGACATACTACTCACTGAATTTTTCTACTTAATCTGCAGAGCATTAAATTACCTTCAAAGTTAGTTCAATACCAAAATAAAACTTCACATTAGGATGGACCTACATCTGAAAACTGGTAAGGCAGACTCTCATTAGATTGTTTGAAATGCTGCTAGTGGGATATCAGTGAAATGGGAAACTACACAGAACAAACTTCAGCCCAAACTGAACTCTAAAGATTTGCACTTTAGAAGTGGTACCAAAATAAAACCATGTACAAAATTATAAAATAAGCCTAACATGAAATATAGCATGCTAATGTGCCCCCTGCTTTATATCTAAGAATTTTTGTCTAATTTAAACACGTAGCCCTGGCTTCAGGGCATATATTTCTATATGCTATATAACACTATAAACGTGTTTGACCCTGACTCTCTATTCATGCTTGGGGTAGGTATATAGTGTGTATGACATCTTCAGGTGACACTGTACACCTTTCAGCCAGCCGATGATTTTACTGAAACTAATTGCCAACTAAGTTACACCTTAACCATCTCATTCCAGATGAACAAAGCACCACTGAGAAAAAAAAGAACAGTAGCTATCAAGTGGAGCAATGTTCTTGGCTGATCTCTTGAAGTCACTTAAAAAAAAAAAAAAAAAAGGCAAGCAAACAAAAACCTTGCACCAAATAGCTTTTTAAAAATTATTTTAACAGTTTATGCATTGCAATTTAGGAGAACTTATGCCACCATTATGATTTATTTTTTATTGCAAGTATATGTAGAAAATATCTGCTATGGATTTTCCTTAATATTTCTAGCTTCCTGTTGTCAATTTACAGAGCAATTTATTTATATTGATTGCTATGCACAGTTCCCTCACCATTTGCGTATATTGTTTACGTCAAATAGTTGTTTCAATCCCTTATTGAAACAAGTTTTCCCCATCAAAACAGATGACAAAATGCAGCTTTCTGATCTTACAATAAATGTGTCTTGAGGTCCTAACTTCCATTCACAATTTTATGTAAATATGGTCCCTCACAATTGATTTGTCTCTTTCCTTGTCCTGATTTTTGAAGAACAGCCCTTTGGAAGTAACACAGACATGGAGACAGTACTAACTGGGAATGTGCTCTGTTTGCACACTGTATGTAGCCTTGTGATGATCACTGATTCTTGAGTTTCCAATAAAGTGCTTAGTCAATCCATCATAAAGGCTGACCAGAGTACTTAAATAATAAGAGGCATTCAGATCACTCAGCATCAGTATAGAAGTTTTTGTGTTTGATGATTAGTATAACATCTAAAAAACTAATTAGGCTTTACTGTTAACTCTGTTTCTGAGGTAAAAGCTGGAGATTTCATAGAATTTCAACATGAAGCTACAACTTTCAGCTCTGAACTTGGTCACACCCAGCTTGCCTAACCACAACAGGACTATCCCAAGGCACATCTTACAGTGTTCTGCTTTGACAAAGCATTACTGACAAGGCTGGTATAAAATATGCAGACTAATGCTGTAGAAGGCCAAGAGCTAGGGCTTTGTCTCTGCCTTGGTCTACTGTATGAGCAGGAGACAGTATCCCTTCCTTGTAGGAGCCTTAGATATTAATTCTTGAAAACTGTGAGCCAGAGCTTATGGGCATGATTGGATATTGTATTAAAGGGTTGAGCAGTTGGAATCATGTAATGGGAAGCATGCAGAATAGTAAGAAACAACATAATGTAGTATATGTGAAAACTGCAAAGTAGGTCTTGGAAGGAGGGAGTATTGCTCTCTGGCAGAACTTTTGCCAGCAGAAAGCCAGATTGTCTTTGAGCCTCCACTGACACTGAAAGCACTAGTGGAAATGGATGCTACAGCCATTAAGTGATTGCACTGAGGTCAGCACAGGCACAGCCTCACCTTTGTTCTTCTGTGTTAGGAAAGGCATTATTAACTCATTGCAGCCCGATTACACTTGCTACATGTTTAGGACTGACATAACCCTTCTCGTTTATTCATTATATGCAAAATTTAGTTTACCCTGCTATATTCTTTTGTGTGTTGCATCATGGAACAATAAAACACTGTTTTGCTCATTGTAGACCTAATGAGCAAAACGTATGCACACAGTGCTCCAGTCTCTAATTAACTGGTTGATCTGAAAAAATGTGTAGGATCAGAACTCTGATGCTGTTGCTTACTAACTGTAAACAGTTTGATTTTTGGCTTTGTTGACTATAAGGAAAACTTTATCTAAATCAGAACATGCTTACAATTAGTTACAAAAATTTCCACTTATTGTATAGCTCATTGAGACCACCAGCTTTAAAATAGCTGCTACAGCACACAGAGCCAAAGTCAAGATTATAACTATTAGTTTATTCCTGTGGGAAAAAAAAAAAAAAAACACAAAAAAAAAAATCAACAAAACCACAGAAACCAAACTATGCTCGAGAAAAATACAGGACTTCTTCACTGATACCTGGTATTCTGTTTTGCACATAGATGGTTGCCTTTAGTAATGAAAATGGCCAAATTTCTCATCAGGATTAGAGGTGTCATTGTGAACTGTTTAGACATTTGGTCTGTGGCAATCTTTCACTCAGGGGAAAAAAGAAGTGAAAATCAGGACCTTACATACGCAACTCCCCAGCAATTGTGCTCCAGTTGTAGCAAAAACAAACATAAAAATACAGTTTTGGTGACTTAAGTGGAAGGAATCTCTTTATCTGAAGAACAGAAAATGTTTTATCATCCAAAACACTAACTCCAGCTCTGAAGTAAGGTCATGAAGACATTGCCATGAGACTTGGGGTTTATTCCTAAATAACTTATTAGCAGAAGAATCACTGAGAAAGCTGTCCCTGCTTGATGGCTTGCTGCATGTCCTCCAACATTACCACTAAGAGCAGCCATAGGTGCTTAGTGCCACCTCAATAGCTGAGGAGAAGCACTGCAGGAAGGGAATGTAAGAGCAGACAGGGAAGTGACCTCTCACAGCACTGCAGGGTGCAGTGGGAAGGACACAGCACTGGCAGAGTCATAATGACCCTGTAAGCCTCTGCATCCTCCAGTCCATTGTGGTCAACCACTTCCAGGACTGCACAGCCACATGCCTTAATCATTCGCCTATGAGGGCCAGCATTTCTCAACAAATCCAGATCAGCAAATTGAGAAGACTCCTGAGCCAGCAGGACAGGTCATACAAGAAGCTTGAGCAGAAACACAGGTGCCACAATGATTTGGTGGGGCAGGTAGGATGGGTTGCCTCTCAGTTCCCTCCCATTCCACTAAGGTTCACCACTTCCTCATAGCTTCAGCCTACATGTGCTTCCCACTTCTTCCTCCAGCCTATTTGCAGCACACCTTTTTTAGCTGTCTTTAAAGTTGGCTAATCCTTGCCTACCAATGGTGAATCCTGAGACAGATCCCCATTCCTGAAAAAATTAACAAGTATTAAGAGATGGGAAATAAACCCATAATAAATAAACATTCTGCCCCTTTTCCCCATTCTTCTTCAGGCCTGTGTTTTGAAACTTTAAGGTCTGTAACAGAACCATTTTTTTCTACTGCTACTGACTACGTCTGTTCAGTGTTTGTTACAATCAGCCCCTGTTCTGAGGCAAACCCCAGTCCCAGCTTAAGTGGTGAACATCTAACAGATTTAGGTCATAAGCACCAACGCTTAATGGAAGTATTTAATTCCTGCAAGTGTTATTATTAAACTTTATGTTCAAAGGTTTTAACAGTTATTAAAATATGAATTTTTGCAACATCATGACAACGCTTTGTGCTTCTAACAAGAATCCAAAAGTTCAAAAGAAGAGTTGATGACATAAGCCTCTGCTTTTAAAAGGCTGATTGTGTTGCAAATATGACTGCATGAGTTTGACAGACAGTAGCTAGGCCATCTTTCGTAAGTCAATTAGTCATTATGACTAAAGCAGACTTCAGTAGAAACACATCTGCATGCACCCCTTGTCACCCTAAGAATCAGGCAGGGCACACTAGATAGAGACGAGAGAAAAACAGAAGGACCGAATGAAACACAAAGTCAAAGCATGTTTTAACAAGAGAGACCAAATCAGATGTTTTTGGCAAATATACCCCATATGGAGATCAGAAGTGAATATGGTTTGGGATTCAGGTTTACCACTTCTCCTCACCCATAACAGCTGTCCAGACAGGGCATGTAACAGGCAACAGTACTCTCCATAAAAACCAATATGAGTGATAATGCAGCGTTGGGTTCAAAATTACAGTCTTCATTTCATAACAGATCCACCATGACTAAATTTGCAAATGCTTGCAGCATACAAATACGTTTTGCTTTTAATGTAATGTCTCCA